TCTCCCTCTCTCTCCCAATTCATTTCAATATGTGCTTTGTTGGCATGACAATTGTTACAATGTATTGCCAAAGCATAGTGTTTACACTGAATCTAGAAGAGATGTGTATTTAAAAATAATAAATAAATAAAATAATAGTATATACATTAAAAAAATAGCCTAGAACAAATCAACATTTTAGAATTCTATGAACAATTTCTCTCTCTCTCTCTCTCTCTCACTATACACACACACACATTTTTATTAAAAAGTCAAATTCCAGGTTAGGCATCAGCCCAATTACCTTATAATTCCCCTTTTATGTATAATAACGTAAATTTTTTATTGAAAATTAATCATAATAACAGTAATCATTATTGTGAACTTGTATTTTTTATCATCTTATATTGTATTATGATTTTTGGCTCGTACAATTTAAATAGTCAACCCTGTTACCATGAGTTTGAAAAGTAAACTGGATATTTGCAGAAATATCAACATTAAAATCTTTATTACAGATACCTTGTAGTGTCAAGACTTCGAGAGCAGCGCAATATTAAGCATAAAACTCAACCCTGTTATTTTGATATATTACATTTTAGCCTCATGGCACATTCCAATTTATTAACATGTAAAGACATTTGTATTTTCAATCCTACAAGTTCAAAGTTTGGCATATGTTGTAAGAAAAAATATTTATATAAAATTACTGTTATGCTGTAACAATCAGCCTTCTTTCCCCATTAAACACAAACAGACCCCAAATCACTTTTCTGCTGTTTTCCAACTCTTTGAAATCCCCCCAAACTCAGCCCCAAATCATAATGATGCTCTTGAGGGGAGAAAGTTTCTAGACTTCCAAATGTCACCTGATAAATTTCGGTGGGCAAACTATTACAATGCTCTCCCCACCCCCCTATGAAGTATGAAGACCGCCCACCACAGACATCCAACTCGAGACCCCATATAGATTTAAAAAGCGAGACGGATTCCGTGTGTATGACAGTCAGTGAGTGCGAAGCATCGGGAGAACATCTGTCCATCTGTAGTCCGTCTGTCTCCAACGCGCGTCTCCACTTTTTCTGAGGATGCTACAGTTACCGCAGCTCCGCCAGGGCGTTATCGCGCTTCTCATATGGTTCGCACACTTGATGGAACAGCAGAAAGTACAAGGTAAAGTGACATCTATCCTTCGCGTGAAGTCTGAAGTCTGAATGAGGGATATTATGCAGTGATAAAGCCATTCATGCATTGATTTGATCCGGTTGCGCGCTGGTGCCTCTCGTGCGTAAAAACGAAGAGAAATTATATGAACTTGTTTTTGAGACACCTATAAAAAAATTACAGTAGATATTTATTTTAAAGGCACTTCCTGTTTGATCTTGAAATGATTTATATTTTCAGACGTTATGTCAAACTTTGTGCAATAGGAAGTGTGGTATTTTTATTTATTTATGATGTTTAAAATGGCATTATGTCTAAATGGTTGAGCATGTTGCCGTGCAATGCACAAAAAACGCTTGCACAACCACAATATAGAGTTTCTTAAGAGTTTGAGTGGATTCAGATGGCAGAAAGACTCGAGAAAACCCGAGTTCCTTTTAAAAAATACCATTGAAATCATTTTCAAATGTTTTTTTTTTTTTTAAATCTTTTACCTGGATCAAGCAAAATCTGTAGTTATTTCATAATGTAACTTGGCACTAAAGATATTGAAGGGGCCAAAAGTAGGAATTTAAGAATCCAGCATGTACCCCTCAGTGTCCAAAGTAGTTGTGGCTCTGCTTGGCACTAATTGGTTTCAGTTAGCTACATTCGGTTACATGCCTGGTATGAGTGATATATGAGCAGAATATTATTCGGCACGTAATAAAGTGGCTCTTTCCAGCTGGCAACTGCTGGCTTCAGCAGGGCAAGAACGGGAGATGCCAGGTTCTCTACGTGTCTGGGATGAGTTGGGAAGACTGTTGTAGAAGTGGCCGTCTGGGCACGGCTTGGACCGAGGAGGATGTACCCAATAACACGCTTTTCCGGTGGCTGATCTTCAATGGTGGTGCACCGAACTGCATACCTTGTAAAGGTACCACATAAGAGTGATTTCATCATTTGGATGAATGGAAATAATCTGGAAGAGGCTTTGAATTGTTAGCCTATGAAGATTTCAGACAGGAAATGCTAGGAACGTATATGAACATTGTGATCATTTGTCAGTCCAGAACTGATATGTCAATTAATCATAGCCTTCTTTATTGATTCCACAGAGACTTGTGATAATGTGGACTGTGGTCCTGGAAAGAGGTGCAAAATGAACAAGCGGAATAAGCCTCGCTGCGTATGTGCCCCAGACTGCTCCAATGTCACCTTTAAAGGGCCTGTGTGTGGCTCCGATGGGAAAACATACCGGAACGAATGTGCCCTCCTTAGGGCCAAGTGCAAGAGACACCCTGACCTGACTGCGCAGTACCAGGGAAAATGCAAAAGTACGCTCACTTAAACCTTCTTCAAAGTCCAAATGAAATTTAAATTTAAATGCTTAATTACTTACAAACTATTGTGTACATTCTTGCAAAGAAGAAAATGTCTTTGTAATCTTAAATATTTAAAAAATAATAACTTGCTCTATCTCTGAAACAACTTTTTGTTTCACGTAGGCCATGCAATCTACTGAATAATGTAGGAATTGCTTTTAACCAACTTGGATTTTTGTTTACATTTGGTTATGTAACACTTTTCATAATCCACTCAATTCCAAATAGATATAGAAAATTTAGGTCCCGACTTAAATTGTTCTTGCTGAATATCCTGTTTTATGAAAAAATACGTCACATTACAGAATTAAAATGTTCACAAAATACTAATCTGCTCCGCCTCTGAAACAACTTTTTGTTCCGGTGACATCATGCAGGCCATGCGATCTCATTGAATCATGTAAGAACTGTTTAAACTAGCATTTTCAATTACATTCTGTTATGTAACACCCACTTTTTATGACTCAGTCAATTCCCAATGGATATGGGAAATTTAAATTCCGACCAAAAATTTCATTAAATATCCTTTTTCACTCCGAAATACACCACGTTAGAGAAGTAAAATGGTTGCGAATGCTGTTTCGCGTTGACTTTTTAAGTCTAAAACTAAGGCTCAATTCTCAGTTCTTTAAATAAAATGCATTTAAAAGGAACTGAATGATAACTTGCTAGTAATTGAACGAACATGCATTATTTCATGTCTTTTTAATAAAAATACTATGCCTACCAAAATATTTATAGAGAGAATGGAATTTTACACTTTTATGCATTGACAAAATATAAAGCTATAGTTTCACATCAGTATCACGTAACCAGGTGTAAAAGGTTGTTAAACAGAAGCTGCCAGCATTTATGGATTATTATTTTCATACAGAATCATGCTATGATGTGCGCTGTCCTGGAAGCTCGACGTGTGTACTGGACCAGACCAACAACGCCTACTGTGTGACCTGCAACCGGCTTTGCCCTGAGGTGACCTCACCGGATCAGTACCTGTGCGGGAATGACGGGATTGGGTACGCCAGCGCCTGCCATATCCGAAGGGCAACGTGCATCATGGGATGGTCCATTGGAGTCGCCTACGAGGGGAAATGCATAGGTGAGACTAAGACAAAATCTTGTGCTTGCACAATCCTTTCTTAAACATGTGGTTCTCATTACTCTGTTTTCTGTTGCAATAACATATTCATGTTTCACATGGGTAGCTTTGACTGTTGCTGCTTTTCTGCGTTATTTAATACCTCCTCAAACCACACGGAGTTAAATAAGACTAAAATTAACAGCCGAAAGGGGCTTGAAAAGTGGTTTTACGTACAGTAAAGTGAAATCATACTTTGGGAAAACTTCAGTTCTCATTTTCTTCGTCTACTCCACATCGTCCTCAGACGCCAGGTCCTGTGAAGACATCAAATGCCGGGAGGGACGAAAGTGTCTGTGGGACAAGCGGACGGGACGGGGACGCTGTGTGGTATGCGAGGACACCTGTCCCGAGAGTCGTCCGGGTGACAGCGTCTGCGCCAGCGACAACGCCACTTACCCGAGCGAGTGTGCCATGAGGCAGGCCGCCTGCTCTTTGGGTCTCGTCCTGGAAGTCAAACACTCGGGCTCCTGCAACTGTAAGTAGTGGATGCTAAACCTGGCCGCACCCATGTCCCGCATTCCCTCCCCCTGCCGAAAACACCCTTCTTTCTTGCCCCTCCCATTGCCCCCACAAGGAACACGAGGACTGTCGGAGAGAAAGTGTGTATTAGCCCTTGTGTTGGCTTCCTCTCGCAAAGACTTAACTCAGAGGCGATGAGATGTTAGAAGTGTCCGGGACAGTGCAGTTGTCCCCTGCTCATCTATCGATGAGGTGTTAAGCCAAAATCTTTGAGGTCAAGCCTGGAAGGATTTCCGTTTGGGATGCGAGACAGTTTTGAACATGCTGCTCATCTGATTTTGTTTCACTGTCTGCACATCAGAGACAGAAACGTGACTGACGGTATCATGTGGAAAGTGAACATAAACTCACTTAGCGTGCTCTGTTTGTGAATCGTCTTGTTGTTTTTGCTCTATAGCAGGCTGACCTGCTCTGTGATGGACAAAGAAAAGCGAACCTGGTGCCATTATGGTGCACGGTCAGAAATCCACCAATTGCGAAAGTGACAAAAAATGCCCTGGAAATATAAATTGTACGGGGGCAGAAAGTTTTTTTTAAATGTGTATTTTAATATATAGATATATTTCTGACACATATTTTAATTGCAGTTTTTGAAATGGTCAGTATGCTGTGTTTTATATGCCCAGAAAATCAATTCCAAGAGACAAATATTGTCTGCGGACGTTCGTTTCCGACCCCAGCTAACATCTCTAACACCTTTGTCTATCGTCTGTGTAATAAAGGGAAACTCAATTTTTTCACTGTTGGTTTGTTATGTCCACTTTGCGTAATGTGAAAAAAAAAATTCTAACCATATTCTGTGTTTTACAAGTATTTTTAATGACACTTATTCCTCTAGAAGAAAGGACTTTCTTCGCGTGTTTCTAGAAAATATCACTTCTTATAATGGTTAAAATGTGGGACATAACAAATCTCATGTGGGAAAAATGTGATTTTATGTTTAGTAGGAACATGTTTAGATGATCAGTTGTTAATGCCCTAAAGTAGAACCATATTTCACCCGGCCGAGTCTGTGTGTGGTATTGAAGAATCATCTTCCAAACAGCGATATTTTTGTTTATAAGAAGGGATTACGTAGTGTCTCTTTGCTTGATTTTATTTTATTTTATACAATGACAAATACAAGAAATTCTCCCGCTAATAAAAGATAGCAGTTAGGCGCCATTCCACAGAGAAACTCAATCCCACCCTCTCGTTCCTCTCTGAGCTGTGATCCCACAACCTTGTGTGAATTGCAAAGCATCAGTTAGAGATGCTTTGGGAGAAAGATGCAGTAAGACTCTGTGCCTGAATGCTGTTGTGTTTTATACTAATGCAACAGCTGCTATATTCCTCTGTAGCTCTCTCTGAAGAGACGGATGAAGAGGAGGATGATGACGATTACACGGATTATAGCCATGTATCTCTGTTACTGACTGGATAAACCACCGTCAACAGCAGAACTCCATTTGAGCACAGAGTCGTGTTCATATTGTACAGACGTGTACTCTTATTTATTTTCCACAGACGCGTGGAAGATGCTTATTGTTGTAGATGTTTATTTATACATTTTTTGCCTTTTTTTATTTATACATTTATAGTCTGAATAAATGATCTCTCTCGTCTTTTCCTTTGTCGTCGTTGAAAGAATATTATTTATTATAACGTGCAATGTTACTCATAAGATAAATGTGTTTTGAAAAGTGTTACATTTTGTGAAGGAAAAAAAAGTAAAGTTTTTGTCATTTCCCCAAATGAAGTCTGCAGCAAAACATGCATGTGTTTTATTTATTAATCTAATGTTCACTAATAAATGTACTTTGTACATCTGGATTGGTTTACAATCAAAGCTGACAAAAACAGCTTTGTCAGTAATATCTATGTCTGATTTGTTTTCACTCTGACACCAAAAATTGGTTTTATTTTACAGAAATCATGTTGATTTTAGTGTTTTCTAAAATCAAAATATACCCTTTTTTGCTAATATTTTTCTGTTTTTATGTGGGTGCTCAGAATCCAGTTTATCATATGTTGTATAAAATTAACAATATCAACTTTAGCATTGTTTTCTTGCCATATATTGTTTGTCCTTTTTATTTTAGAGATCCAGCTATAAATTTCTAGTTTTGTATTTGTATGTAAATGTTTAATGTATATAAAGTTAATGATGCCATTTGTAAAGATGCAATATAAAAAGTAAATATTGAACCAAATATGTCTCCTACTTCACTGTGGTTGGATTTAAAAATGTACAGCAGCAAAACTAATATCTGGAAAAGGTATTATTCCAAAACTTAATTGGTCCTGGCCTTGAATCCTTAAAGTGGGAATTTGTTATTCCATGCTAGTCACAAGCCGATTGCCTTGAACACACACACACACACACACACATAAGCCAATCCAAGTTCTGCAGAAGCCACCGGAACTGTCTGAGCTGCAGCGAGGAAACTAATTTGCCAGGAAGTCGCACAGACGGCTAATTGGAAAGGAGAGCGACACCACCTCTTTGCTTTGCAAGGCTTCATTAGATGCTTATCGTTAATTCAAACCCACTGAGATGTTTTTCAGACAGTGTGGGAACTCATTTTTCTTCATCTGATATTGTGCACAGATGCCTTAAAATGTCAAATTAACAGGTTTTATGACAACAGTTCTGTCTAGACTCTAAGTTAAGCTCTTTACAAACAGACCAAACAAACAAGTGATAAACTTACTTTGGCTTCATTGAAACTGAAGCATGGAGAGAGGCGGTGTTCAGTAAGGTGAGGTGTGTTTGTGCTGTCAGGGATGATCTGTGTCTCCTCTCGCCGGGCAGCTGAATCAGCAGTGGTTGTCATGAGAGAATATGGGCATCCGGGCCTCGCCGATACCTGCTGGGCAGCATCTGTGATTGCTCAGAAACAGAGAAGCATAATCATATCTGAAGATCGTAATCAAGAGTGAACACTGTGTAACTGTCTCTAACTTGTTTTGGAAAAAATAGCAGGCCACCACTATAACAATGTTGAGAAACAGCTGATGTTACAGGAGAGAGGAGACTTTTTCCTATAGTCATGCTGATGAAGTTAAAATCCACTGACCTGCCTATGGTCAGGTTTTACATTTTACATTTAATCATTTAGCAGACACTTTCATCCAAAGTGACAATAGAAGCAATCAAAACCAACAAAAGAGCAAGAATATGCAAGTGCTATGACGAGTCTTTTAATTTTAATTAGCCTATATTTTGGCACATTACAGTATATGACAAAAGCTCTTCCTACTCAAAAAGTAATTTTATTATGTTGTCCAGACAAAAATAAAATCTTGCATAAAAAAGATTCATTTACCTCAGAGGCAAAAATGTTTAAGAAGATAGTTAACAAAATATGTTTTAAGAACGTTTTGCTTTAAAGTTCTCATTAAGTTATGAAAATGTTATTTCTGGATGATCTCTGACTTTTTAAAACATCCATGTAAAAATTTTAAATTTTTTTCCTTTGGTTATGTGAACATTGAAACAAGGGGAACTTTCTATTTGACAGCTTTGTGGGAATGTTTCTCTTTAAAAACCATCTTTGTTGAACGACCAACTAAAATGTTTAAAGGGGTCATATGATGTTGCTAAAAAGAACATTATTTTGTGTATTTGGTGTAATGAAATGTGTTTATGCGGTTTAAGGTTCATAGAACGCATTATTTTCCACATACTGTACATTATTGTTTCTCCTCTATGCCCCGCCTTTCTGAGACGCGTCGATTTTTACAAAGCTCATCGGTCTGAAAAGCGAGGTGTGCTCTGATTGGCCAGCTATCCAGTGCGTTATGATTGGCCGAATACCTCAAGCATGTGACGGAAATGTTACGTATTACCTTACCATATTGTGATGATGCCCTGTCAGGCCGGAGCGATGATTCAAAAACATGAAAACCCATTATAAACGAGGCATTCGTTGCATCCAGTGGGGACATAATTATGGATTATAATGACTTATACTGTCTTTTTACGCATTGCGTTGGATCGCGCCGCGTAAACATAAAACCATGTCTGCATTTGTGATCGGAGAAATGACAAACAATAAGCCCTACTCTACACTGCCCAAAAAACTTGCTTTAAATATATTAAATATAAAAACTCTTTAAATATTAAAGACGTACTTACAGTATGTGAGTCAGAACAGCTGGCATTGTAGTCTACTCTCACAGGATCAGGAAACAGCCCTCCATAAAATGTGCTGCACACATCTGAATATTTGGGTTGAAGTGTTCTGGAACAGTGTTGTAAATACAACTTAACCACTTATTTCTAGTCGTGTCCATTTCTGGAAGACCAAACAAAGTAGTTTCGCTTTCACAACGAAACACAGCATCACACACGGCGGCCTAGAGTGAGCAGAGGCCAGGGGATAAAGTGAGGAACGGCCGGAGGGCTGGAGTGAGCAGAGGCGGTGGATTCGACGAAGGAGCGTCTGGAGGGCTTGCAGCAACCACATGTGACGATCACACAGCGCATTCACAACATGGCGGCAGCGGCAACAACAAAACTACAGCGAGATTTAAAAGTTAGGCCTTCTTTCTTTGCGTGAACATTTGGGCGACGTTATGCAAATCTTCCCACATCGTGACGTAGACATGTGGGGGCGTGTTAGAACGAGCCGTTTTAGGTAGGTGTGGCTGACTCTTAACTTTTATAAAGGATATCTTTAGTCTTAGACTTTAGTCTTTGCAACTTTACAGCTCTTCTTTATGCACCAAGAGCTTGTAACACTCCAAAGAGAAAGGAAAAATTGCAATCACTTCATATGACCCCTTTAAGAAGAACGTTTCATAAACGATAGCCTATATAAATAGCCTAATGTTTTAGTGCTAACGTTTTAAGAACGTTATTAAAGACCGGATAACTTTGAACGGACATTCTAGTAACATTAGGTCTATTCCGGAAGAATGTTTGTTCATGACTTCTTTAATAACTGCGCCAGAATGTTAGCAATTGCTCAAGGTTCTGAGAACTGGATACCTACAAATTTCAATTCAGTTATTATTTATCTTAATGTGGTGTCAAAGCGTTATGAAACTCTTGAACAGCAGTTAACGGTGATCACAGGCTGTCAAGCTCTAAAAATCTAATTACAACGTCCCTAGGCTATTAAGAGTGTTCTAGAATATTTTTGGAGCGTGACACGCAAGGTCTCAACGAACTGTTGTTATAAGGCAAGCTGTTCTTCAAAAATGTTAACTTTTGTGTTCCACGAAAATTAAAGCATTTCGTTTTGGAACGAGTGAATCTTGGTGGCGCTGAATCACGGTGCTGAATTTTAAGCGACTCTTGAGTGATTCATTAAATGAATCATATAGCCTACTCACGAACTGATGAGTAGCCTGCTGATGAGTTATCATTACAGATTTCTGTCTTCCCGTGTTTCCGCAGCGTGCCAGGTCGTACGAATTTCTGAATGAACCGCTCGTTTTAAAATCTTCCGGTCTACTGACATTTGTTACGACATCAGCTTCAAACATTAAAATGCACATGATAACTTTTGTTAACTCTACAATAAGTAAATCCACTTCACCAGCTTAAACAGTGATGCTATAAAGCTATACACAAAAACGTAAGATCAAATACAAAATTCTAAAGATGGCTGATGTGCACTTATTTCACTGAGGCATAAGATCTATAATTGCTAAAAAAAAATGTTTTTAACTTATTAAGAAAATGATTTTTGTGTTGCAGTACAAACAGTCACCATTGATTTGAAAGGTCTAGAGTTTTCTGCCAAGTTCAT